CTGTTCATGTTTCCATGAGGCGACCCACAAAATGATGTCTTATGCACTAACCTGCGCGACGGCAAGGGCCTGCAATTGCGCCAGTTGCTGGCAGGAGGCATTGGCTTCGATCCAGGCGGCAGCCAGTATGAAGGCCCCGAGAACGAAGCTGACGAGCACCACGGTGACAGCCGCGATCCTGGCGATCTGAACGGCTGTGGAGCGGGGCTTCTGGTACGCCTGCAAAATGACAGCACCATCATTAACCCTTCACCCTTCAACGAACGTTTTAAATTTCCGACGGATTAAACCTAATTGCTTTAAATGACGTCGTTTTAATATTTACGTTATTTAATCCCTCAAACTGACTGATTTCTTCCGAAACTTTGTATCGCATAATAAAACAAAATTGAGGACCGCAAAGTTTGACTTTGTTTTCAGCACAGGTAAAGGTTCAAGGCGGGAATAAGTGGAGTAAGTTTTGTGCCTTTTTCTGTATTTGAGCGGAATAAGTCGTGTGCATGCTCCACGACTCTGCAAGTGGGTCGAAGCGGTTCCACACAGAGTCTTTTGTTATGAACGTTCGTTCCATCAACCTGGCGGCCTCAAAGCAGCCTTCGCTTGGAATTGACGCAGGAAACTGGTAAAGAACGCGCAGCAGTGGATCGCAATGACCTGGGTATCTAGGTGTGATCAAGAGAGAGAAGGAAAAACAAAGATACCGAATGAAACTGAAAAAATATTATAAAATTCAGAGAGAATAAGATACGAAGAGAACGAAAATTCTCACGATAATGTTGCATCGCGATTAGCTCCCTCATGATTTCCCCAACCCGTCGTCCATACGAAATAATATTACGTGTTGTAACAGAGGAGCCATAATGAACTTGTATTATGTAATTCTACCTTATCACAATATTACTTCATTGCACATAAGCTATACACATTTTTATGCAGCTCGGTTTTCCCCTGCTAATCGTTATTCTAATGTTGTTCCATATTCATGTCACCGCTCCACGGGGCGGGCGATATTCCTAAACAACTAGCACATTATAACCGTTTTAACATATTCGTCGCCAATCAATCACATTTCAAACATTACAGAGCCATCTATAACTGATCTACTTACAGTCCGCGACTGTAATCTTGAGACTTGCGGGTTGAGGAAGTGGGGTGAAGGAGGAAGGATAGCGTCTGCCTTTATCGCTACGGACTTACTGCATTCCTTGCAAGTCTCAAGATTACAGTCGTGGACTGTACTCGTACAAGGTGATTTGATCGGGTCGCCGGAAATAGTCGGCAAGAACCTGGCCTTATCTCGGGAGTATAACGGGGTGTTATCTGTCAAGGTCAGATGAGTGACTGGCTACGTGGATGAGGTATGAATTGTGGAAGGTGGGATACAATAACGACACTCAGATGTTGCCCCAATGAAATTACTGAACGTCTCGGACATATATTTGTTCATAAATTAGAAAAATGGGTTAAAAAGTACCAGCAAAACACTATGGACCAAGAACACATTTTGGGCGCGGTTGCTATGACACTTCTAATGAATGCTTAGTCACTGGAACAAAAGTCTCAGTGAAACACCATAGATCGCGAACGACAGTTTGGGTCTGGTTACCATGACCACGTTAAGTGTCTCTCTTAAATGAATACCGGATCACGGAAACACAAAGGACGCTGTGAGTGAAAAGCTGCGTTAGTTGTAAGCAGGTCATTGTACTCTGCGCTCCAGATACACTACAGGGAGGTGTACTAGGTGTTACACATCACAGCGAGGGCTGGAAGGCCTACCGTACTATAGAGCATCCAGCAGTAAGAATCTATGACTGCTCTTGTTATAGTAAGGTTAATATGTTGCATTCACCGCTCAACCACGGTGACGCAATAAATCTAAGCTGTTTACAGAATTTTGGATTTACCATGTTGTCTTTCATGACAGCATTAGATAGATAATATAACAATTTTGACGAAACAAATAAACTACGAATTGCTTTCATTATTCAGTGTTAAAATACACGAAATTACAATATAGCCAAGACTGGGAAAACAGAAAGAGGAAATGTGACTTTGTACGGTTGACCAACAGTCCAAGACCTGCACTTCTAACACTGAACGGAATAGTCAACTGACCGGAAGAGGGGTGAAGGCGACTTCAAATGTTACTTCCTCCTATATCTACTTAACATAAATGGGGACGCGTAATACAGGTCTCTCTTCCATAGAAAGTCGCTCTTTAACTTCAAGAATCTGCCAACGACCATACACAAACATTTTTTGTTAACGGAGACAGACAAACTGCGAACTCAACTGAACTGTGTACTAAGCAAAGGTGTGAGAACGAAAGTGAGACAAAGAAATTAACACAGAAGCTGCTGGTCAAGGATATGAGAATGGAAAGTGTGTGGTAACTTTCAATTACGTGTTATTTACACATAAAACATAAAATTAACGCATTATCGAATTGAAGAGATCTCGCAGCTGGTCCCAATCCTGAGCCAGCTGCATCCACACATCCTAGTTACCTAAGATCCATTTTAATGTTGTCCTTTAATCTGAGGGTATGTTTCCCAAATCACAAGAAAATAAACCATTTCTATCTCGTCCACGACAATTCCGAGGGTTGGTGATAGCATAGACAAATGGAAATTCCTCCTGTATTGATAGTCATTGGATGGATGACTGTATTAGCCCCTGAGCCATTTTGATTCTAGCTGATATAGCGTCGTTTCGTGACCAACTAACCAACCGACTATCCACAATAACATCTGAATTAACGATTGTGCTGTTAGCTACTACGTTCGGTTCCTGTTCTGCAGAGGCATTGTTTCACGAAGCCGGACAACTTGCAGTCGCCCTGTTCCTACCAGAACTGACGTCACCATCCGCAATGCAGAAAGCCTTGGTTCCCGGAAACTCCGATCTTGGTCACTTCTAATTTACCGTTTCTTATCAACCTACGTACCAGTTACTACTAATAGGATATAACCATACAAACTTGTCTCCAGATTAACTTCTTGAGGAGTTACTGGTCATTCAATGATCGAAAATATT